CCACATTCTTGTGTACAAAACTAATATTTATTAAAAAGAAGGTAAAATCAGCCATGCATGCTGGTCTTTGACAAAAACATTCTAGTTCTTGTTCATTATTACAGCCAAATGCTACAACCTGTGGCTTGATATTCTGTTTGATGAACCTGCCTAGTACAGATGTCAAAGTTAGTTAAATTTAGCCTATGTGCTGCTTTTTGCTTTCTTTTGAAGATATGTATAATATTACACTTGTTCCATTATGAGGAAAGTATGTAAACATATTGCACTTTCTTTCCTGTTATGCCATTATATTTCAGACTATGGAACATACCTGAGCACTTGACACCAGCATCTTCTCCGTGGTTGCAGTTATGACGATACCATCCTCCATGAGAACATTCCTCCAATCTATCCTCATTCCCGGTACAATTTACATCATCCAGAGTTATGTTTCCTGAGCCTTGACCAAAGAAAGCGTTTCCGTTTGCTGTGACGGCGCTGCCACAATCGAGCTGTCTGCACACAACCTTTGCATCCATTAAGTCCCAGGAATCATCACAGATGGTGCCCCACAATCCATTGCGTAAGATTTCAACACGTCCCTCACAGCTGTGTATTCCATTGACCAGTCTTATGGATTTAGCTGAGAAAAATGAGTCAGAATCCATGTATTTGAATGGAAGATTGGAAATAATGAGGCATCTGATACCTCAAAGATAAACAATTTTCAAAATTTTGCCAATTAATTAGGATTAGTTCTTACATAAACTTTTATTATGAGAAACATAAAGTATGTTTTTTCATAGTATTCATAGTTTGTAATATTCAACTTTGGAATTCTTGTGCAGACTTACCAGGCAACTTTTCTGAGGGTGAAGTAGCATCATGTGAAGCAGTTACATCAAAGAAAACAAATAAGGCATACAATCTATAATGGGGATAATTATAGTGTAGTATAATTACTCCCAGTATCGAGGTGATAGTACTACAGCTGATCATTAAAAAATATATGTAATTAGTGAAATTTTCATTCCCCACAGTCTAACGCTGAAGGGGTAAAATAGACAGAGACAAACCATTTAACCTGTTCCATATTATATTTATGTGGACATTTCTAACAGTATTTCTATACTAGTATTTGTAGAATTAATACTAGCCCATAACCATCTTAAATTACCATAAAGTTCATTTTCTTTATTGATATATCTTCATATTTGTGACT